CCTCTCCTACTCACTATGTAGCCAAGGTTGGCTTCGTTCTTAGGATCCTTCTGTTTCTATCCCCACCCCACCTCATCCTCCCACCCCCACCCCACCTGGCCAATTGCCGGGAAGACAAGCATACATGACCATGTCCAGCTTCTGGGCTTTCTTTTATAGTCACTCCAACATTTTTAAAAAGACATGTAAGAACTCCAAACACGATTCCTTTCCTCTGGATTTTAGGTGATGAATCACAATAGAGGGAAAGAGAGGAAACAGTTCTCCTTTTGAATATGGAAAGACTAAAAACCATAAAGCATTGGGATGAGCAAAATCTCTAAGAAGGGGATCCTAGAAATGAGGTGCTTAACTATGGCCCTAATATAGGCCCTGAAATACTGAAGACAAATCGGACATTGAAAGTGTTCACATAGGCTGGCCATCTAATTAGAGAACACGGATAAAGATAATACATTGATACCCTGCTAAAACACATGCTTGGGTCTGGAGAACTTCATCTGGGCATCCCAGACAAAACGCAATATGGGAACAGCTCTAAGTAAGGACAAGAACACTATAAAAATAGAGATGCTTAGGAGGAGGAATGCAAGATGCTTAGAGAGGAAGACAACACATAGAGGAAGGAAGAATTAAGCCATATTCTCTGTGAATGTGGTGCATGAACACATGTAAGAGAATGTGTGTCCATGTACACAGATACAGAAGCCAAAGAAGAATGATGGGTGACTTCCTCTATCACTTACCATCTTACAAATGAGACAAGGTCTCTCTGAACCTATTTAGTCTAGGCTGGCCAGGATGAGCCCCTGGGATTCATTTGTTTCTGATATCCAAAGCTGGGATCTTAGGAGTCACAGCCATACTTGGCTTTTTCATGGGTGTTGGAGATTTGGACTCATATCCTCTTGCTTTTACAGGAAGTGCCCTTCTCTGTAGTGATATCTTACCCAAGCTCCATTCTCTGACCCTCAGGCAGGCTTTATGTGTACAAGCAAGAAATCTCTACACTTCTCCAGTCAGCGTCTCCCCACACCCATAACCATATTACTTTTTAACACAATGGGTAAGGCTTGTGATTTATGATTGTTTAAGGGGAACCTTCAACACTTACTGGCTCTATAGACAGTGATGAAGCATTGTGTCTTGTGGCCAGCCCTTCATACATTACAGGAATAATGTAATAGCACAAAACTCAGTTTGGGAGGACTCACTGAGTTAGAATATGTAAAATACTCAGAACATAGCTGGAACCTCCTTTCCCTTTAGTTTTGATTATTCATAATCTCACCCTGATTAGATGCTTATTAGAGAGGAAGGGAGGAAAGAGGAAATTAAGGCTAGTTTACTTTATTTCTTATCAATCAACTGTGACAAAAGATTTGCGTTCTAACTTAAATAAACATGACTCAAAGTTTGCCTTCAGTCTCTGTTAGAACTACCTCATATTATGTTCACATTTTCACTGTCCACCATTTCCATGAATAATTTGGTGAGGTTTTTGGAAACAAAACTATTTGAATTTTTTAAAAAAGGAAAAAAAGCCTAACACATAGAGCATTTCTGAATAAACATAAGGGGGGAAAAAGAATTCAAAAGCCACTATACTTATACCAAATAAATTAATTAGAAGTAAATGAAATGCAAACAGAAGACCATTATGCTCATAAATACATTAAAACATAATTAGTACCCTTAAATGAACACTAAATTAAATATAAAACAACATTTAGAAAACCTAAGTAGTTGTATCTAGAAGTTAAAATTATTTTCAATGATCTTTACTTTAAAATTGTACTAAGAAAGCTGGGCGTGTTGTCATATGTGTATAATCCCAGCCCTTAGAGAGTGATGTGGGGAGATCTACGGCAGTCTGAGCGACATTTGTAATGTCCAGGCCAGTCTGAGCTCTATGTCAGGAGGATTTCAAAAACTGAGCAAGTATAGCCAGAACATTTCTGAACATATACAGAGAAAAGAAGAGGCAAAGTGGGATATTCAATCAAAATAAAAAAAGAAAATCAAACTGAAAAATTTAATATACATTTACTGAAATACAACCTGAAGTCGGAAAAAAGTACTTCTCTTTAAGAAGACAAATTTTAAAACTAAACTTTGAATTATCTGCTTACTTTTACTAAAAGATGTATCTTTATATAACTCTAGTAGAGTGAAAAGAGTTAGTAAATGGCTTATGAATAAAGGCCCATCAACATGTGCTAGGGATATCAGTAAGTGGAGAACCAACTGAGCTATGTGTAAGGACAATAATAGGAAGTACTCCAGTTGGAGGGATGTAAGGCAAAACAGTTACCCTGGACACATTTTGGTATACAGCTGACTTTTATCTCATAAACAATACTTTCAAACATAATATGCTATTGATTTAGGAACACTCAAAGGAAAGAACTGCATAATAGTCTAAGTGAAATTGCAAGGTACAGATTTTGTATGCTAATACAATAGCTTTGTTGAGATAACAGAGAGTGGATACAGAAAGCCAGATAGACAATATTTATCTACATTTGAACAATGCTTTCAACCCTGTGCTGCAAATCAGCATGCTGAGAAATTAAGATATGAATTGTATAGATGATGTGACAGAGTGAATTACTAGTGGCTTCTAGATTTGAAATAAGGGATTATTATCCTTTCAGATACTGAAGTTCATACCAATGTATCTCAAGTTTTAATTTGCAGCTAGACTAATTATGTGAAATAAAATAAATGTAGCTTATACATTAATCATCTTCAGGTAAAGGTTAATTTAATAGAATTCAATATAATTCACCAGAAAAAAATTGGAAGCAAACAATAACAAAGAATCTAAAAAGTGACTGATTTACCTATACAACACAAGCACAGGGAACTTCATAAACAAAAGATGTGTCTTTCATATTTTAGAATCAGTGTCAGATAGGTTAATTAGTTGAATTTTTCTTCTATTATATATTATTTTCCACCTTTTTATGCACAAAAATTCTTAAGCAAAGATAAAATCATATAGCAAATACTGATAGCATTTCCTATTATTTAACTTTGTGTCGCATGACTGTAATTCATTAGAGCAACTGTGTTAACAAGTAAAGTCTTGGAGGAAGGACATAGAGGAGTTGGCAAGCACTTTCAATGTTATTATTTAAAACCCAATGTCTTATTAAAATAAACCACTTAAGTCTGGACTTAAAAGAACAAAAGGCAACTGGCCATCACATAATCATTTGTTCTTACAATAATTCTAGATTTCTATTATGTGTGAGGCATTGTGATACTAGGTCATGTGCAGTCCTATAGTGTATACTTTAGATAGCACAGAGCTGTGAAAAAGCAATTAAAATAGGTATTGTTGTAAGGCTGGGAATTTTCAACAATTCTCATACTGAAGCAGAAAAGGTACTATGTATCACATACTATAAGGACTACTTAACCTAAATTAATCTAAGTTCAAGAATATTATAAGTACAGCTACAATATAATGCTCTAATATATGTAGGTATTCAAATATCTTAAAGTATCTTTTTGAAGGAAATTTAGAACAAATTTATGATAAAGAGATATTAGAAATATCAGCATATTGGTTATTAATTGAAAGGCAGAATTTGAAAACATTCTTTTATGGGGATAAGAATTCATATTTCTTTTATAGGGCTAAGAATTCATATTATACTTTTTATATTACATTCATTAATAATGTTAAATCTGCAACTACTAGTATTTCTTACTTTAAAAAAATTAAGACTCCAATATCAGAATGAATGTCAGTCGAATAAACTACTACAAAAATGGCTGACTGTGACATGTACTACTTGTGACAGACAGAACTACATATGTTATAAGGTTGGTTTATCAATTGGTTATATTGATTCAATGCCATATAGTACTTCAGATGCCATAGAATGCTTTATATCCAGGGTTCTATATTTACTAGTTCTACAGGCATACCACAAATATCAGTGAAAACAATGTGCTGAATGGAGGTCTTGTTGCACGATGGTAGTGCGTCTGACTCCAGAGAATGCACTGAACTGCAAATGCCAAGACGTGTACTTTACAGAGCCAAGAGAAAAGAAATTGCTAATGGTTTTTGCCACCAGAGATAATTTTTTCAGTGTGTTTTAACATTAGCTAATCACAAATAAGAGCATACAGTCAGGATTTCTGCAGGTCAAATCGGGCAAGAGTAACTTATATATACTTGTGCATGTGAATTTGGTTTGAATACACGTCTTTGTAGAGTTATACACCAAAGCCCTACAGAGCTTTCCTGCAGGTTGTCATTGGAGATATGATGGGGTGTTGCTATTAGCATTTTAAACTTCCCAACTCAAACATTTATGGTTTGCTGGATCTCAGAATCTAACCAGAGATGAAAACACACTTTTTTTTTTGGGTCCAGGCTGTCATGGTAAAATATCTGTATGAATGATAATAAAATTTCAACTTTTTAATTTATTCAGTAACATACAAAGCAAAAATCTGCACTCAGCATATTATCAATCTTTCAACTTCTCACTACTTTTATGCGCTTTTGAGAAACTGAAAGATTCATAATGTGTTCTAAGTGTTTGTGAAAGAGTGTGTGTGTGAGACAGAGAGAGAGAGAGAGAGAGAGAGAGAGAGAGAGAGAGAGAGAGAGAGAGAGAGAGAGAGAGAGAAGAGAATGTGCTTACCACAGTGATAATGTGACAGAAGGTGTCCATCCTTTCCTCCTACTATGTGGTTCATAAGGACAGAACTCAGGTGGTAAATCATGGGACAAAGTGTCTTTGCCACTGAACCATGACAATGGCCCTATAGGATGCTTTCAAACTAATTTTATGCTAGCAGATATTGGTGCCAGGCAATGACTATAGTGTAATGCTGTTACGTAGTTTGTGATCGTGAAATGGCATGAAGCCCTGTGAAGGCATTAGACCACAGTCTATGGCCTATCCAGGAAATACAAGTATTGTTGCCAAATAGTTAATCCTTAGGGGGCAAAAAGAATCATATATTTTTACCTTCCTCTTTTCTTCTCTTTGCTTCTTCTTCATTCCTTTCTTTGGCTTTTAATGCTTCATCAGCTTTTGCTGCAAGAAAACAAAATTTCTTGCATTTATTTTATGCATAGCTTGTAAATGAGAATAGTGGGGAAAGAAAACAGAAATTTAATGTTTATTTTTGTGAAGTTGTCATAAAAAAGAAATATGGCAGTTATGAATTAGAAGTACATATTTGTATTCTCCATTCAGAATTTATATCCAGAATATTTACTTATAATCCCAGAGTCTTAGTTCAAGCTACCCTCTGCACAAAAAGAAAATGAAATTGAGTAATGTGAGGTTAAATCATGATATGTGAATTGGGAAAATAGGTGGTTATTAAAAGCCATCTGATTTAGCAGTGGAACATATCTGTTTTAAAGTCTGGAGGATTAAATTTTATCTATAAGAAACTTGAAGTATCTGTGTTGCAGTATCAGATTAAGCGAAATTTTGCTTTCTCTTTTTTCATGCACATCATAATAGAGCTTTATTCATGTTATGACAGCATTTGCTAAAAAGGATCTTTTTTCTCTCTAGAACCTCTTCCCTTATTACTTAATTATCTACTAGTTGCTCAACTGCAGGGATTTTTCAAACACTTTACTACAGATGTTAAAGAAGATTAAAAATATACAGCACAGTAACATGGGACTATCAATATACTCTGTAAATTAATTAAATTTCTGTTCTAGCACATCATTTATTCTGAAGCATTAACGTCTCAAAGGAGCGATTCTCCTTTATTGCCGTCTTACTGCCTGATGAGTGAACTAAGCGAAAATAAGTCTCTAATAGCATTAGAGTTGATGAAATATTAAGTTAAAAAAGTATTGCCTCGTCAAAAGAAAAAGAATCAGACTGTGCCAGCATTAAACTTCAGATCAGACTTTATCATAATGATAACAGCAACTAGAAACTGTGATTTTTAAAAAATATACTGCAGTTGTTGCGCAAATATGTTTCCCATACAAAATTAATGTATCTTTAGACCTACAAAAATCTGGCTAAAAGAAGGAATTTAAGGAAAATTCATGTATCATAAAAAAATTCTCTTCAAAGTTTGATTTTCTTTGCCATCAATGCTGACACTTCTTCTTAAGGTATACAACTCACATAATGGTGTTATGAGTGCTATGTCTAATGACATAGACATCTGTTTCCATTTATATGCTTTTATATATTCTTACACTGTTTAAAGTCATGAAACATTAAAACTTTATGTCGTTTTACATCATTGCACAAATCTACTAAATTAGATAATAAAAACAAACCAGCAGTAACTCTAAGGACTTTTACTTCATTTACACTTTATTCACCCTGGTAGAAGGACAAGGATAATAGAAATTCCATTTAAATTCAATTTGGGTTATATGTGTAATTGTAGATATACCCCTTGAGTCATGTAAAATGCTCAGCTTATGTTTCTTTCAAATTATCCCGCTCAGATTCCCATTCTACTCCTTACAACCATCTTCAATATGTATTAGCAGAGCTCATTAGGCTGAAATTTAATAATGCAAACATCAGGTGCATTTCAAGAGCCTCCATTAACAACGTAAGATGGATTGCTTATATATAACTCTTGGGCCAACCGGGCACAATTTAAATTCAATAAAGTAGCCTGCCTAAATCTGATTTATCTATTTGACTATGCTGGTTTGTCCTTTCTTACTGATTTGTTGCTATACATGGACAATTCATTGGAATATTGTTTTCTATGTTTTTTTAAAACTGAAAATAGCTTTGGTACTGTGGTTAAATATTTTATGTAATTCATCTTCATACTGTCAATCAAGATTCTCATATTTGTGTATGTATGTAAATAAAAAATCCTGGGAATTACATTGAAATAACATGGACAATCTTCTTGTGTCTTAGTATTTGTTAGTTTATTTTAGGCTCCTGGCTTAACTTAATTATTAAAAAGTTTAGTAGGGGGTTGTAGAGTTGGCTCATTCCTTAAGAGTACTTTCTGCTCTTGCAGAGGACCCAGGTTCATTTTCCAGCACCCATATGACAACTCATAACTGCTTGTAACTCCAGATAACAAGGATGATCTTAAAAGTACACATCTAACCTTGCTCATCTTAGACACAGGGGTGAGGGCTTTGGTCCTGCCTCAACATGGTGATGGGACAGAATTCCTTGACTCCCCATGGGAGGTCTTACCCTCTCTGAAGAGCAGACAGGGCAGAGGGGGAGTTGAGGGGAAGTTGGGGGGAGTGAAAAGAGAGGAGGGAAGGGGAACTGGGATTAGTTTGTTAAAAAAAAACTAAAATGAACTATAAAAAAGTACACAGTGGCCCCTGTGTCCTCCAAAAGACTATGAATGAATTTACGTGGAGAGAAATATATTAAAAACGAATCATCAGGATAAACTCCTCTTTGATTATTAAGGGAGTGTGGAATGAACAATTCCCCGACCAAACAGCTTTATGCTATTATAATGTAAGTGTGGAAAGAAGCAGAACTTTCCTGGTCATTCATATATAATTTAATTTACTTGAAAAATTTGTATTGTCCAAAGGTAGAAACTCCATTTTACAGATGATGTCACTAAACACTACTCGATGTGCCACAAAATTTGACACTGATGTTCACAAGTAGTTAGAGGTCCTCTTGTGGGTTACCATCTTCTTTGACTCTGTAACATCATCTACTCCAAGTCATATCAATTACTTTATGCTACTTTTCTTGTTGAACTTTCTATACAGTCTCTAATCCTTTGGTGTTCTCCAATTCTCCAGGGCTAGTTGTACCCTCAAGGCTTTCTTTCTTGAATATTCAACCTGAAGCCATGACTTCTATCACCCCAACAAAATTCATTTTGTATATAATTCCCATTGTGAAGTTTTAGAAGTAGGACATCTAAAAGGTGAGTAGGCTGTGAGTGCTCTCTTCTTGACTGGATTCACAAATTAATGAAGTATCTTATCAATAAACCTGTCATAGAAGCCAGTTTACAGGTCTTTTATGTATACCTCTCTTGTCTGGTGATGTTTGTCCTGCAGAGCCTTAGAACTCTGCACTGCCCCCACCAGCAAGAAAGTCTCATAAGATATGGTTCTTTGACCATGTACCCTCCATAATTATGAGTTAAATAAAATTTTATTCTTTACACATTACATTCTCTATGGTAGTCAGCTATAGATTCATAAGGGCAAAGATATTGAACTCCAAAGCAACTATTTCAATTCCAAGTATGTAAACATCATCATCTCCAATTTGTTGTTTTAACAAACAGTTACTTATACTTCTGACAATTTTCTATTTATGCTGAATGGTCTACCTACAAAACAGTGTATACTGCTACTAAATGATTTAGTAACTTGCATCCTTAGAGATTGGCAGCACCTCTTCAGTCAGTACAGTCATAGGTGATGTCTGTTCTTAGTTCTTTGTCAATAATCAACCAACATGCCTGGTGTCCTGATACTTCCTCAGTTCTACCTCTATTTACCCTCATATTTTTACTACCTTTCAAGTTTACTGCCTTTCTTGCCTTGTTTTATAAAATAAACCCATCCACTTGTGCTTTATTTTTTGAAAATTTTTAGATTTTTTATTTAAATTAGAAACAAGGTTGGTACACATGTCAATCCCAGCTCCCTCTCCCTCCTTTCCTCCCACACACCCCCACTCACCACCCCCATGCCCCCACCCAATTCCCACTCTGTTCCCTAGGGAGGGTAATGCCCTCTCTGGGGGATCTCCAGAGTCTGTCATTTCATTCAGGGCAGCGCTTAGGCCCTCCCCCAAGAGTCCAGGCTGAAAGAGCATCCCTCATTGTGGGATGGGCACCCAAAGTCCATTTGTATGCCAGGTATAAATACTGGTCTACTACCCAAGGCCCCATAGATTGCCTAGGACTCCTCACTGACACCTACATTCAGGATCAGTCCCATGCTGGCCTCTCAGCCATCAGTCTGGGGTACAAGTGCTTCCACTTGTTCAGGTCAGCTGTTTCTGTGGGTTAAACAAGCCCAGTCTTGACCCCTTTGTTCATCAGTCCTCCCTCTCTGTCACTGGGTTCCAGGAATCCAGTTCAGTGTTTAGCTGTAGGTGTCACAAGAACTTTGAGTCTTTAAAGAAAGAAATTAAAGAAGACACAGAAAATGGAAAGATCTCCCATGCTCTTGGACAGGTAGGATCAATGTAGTAAAAATGGCAATCTTGCCAAAAGCAATCTACAGATTCAACACAATCCTCATTAAAATACCAGTACAATTCTTTACAGGCCTTGAAAGAATAATAATCATCTTTATATGGAAAAACAAAAGACCCAGGATAGCCAAAACAACCCTGTTCAACAAGGCAACGTCCGGAGGCATCACCATCCCTGACTTTAAGCTCTATTACAGAGCTGTAGTCCTGAAAACAGCTTGGTATTGGCACAAAAATAGACAGGTAGACCAATGGAATCTAATTGAAAATCATGATATTAACCAACACACCTAAGAACACTTGGTTTTTGACAAAGAAGCTAAAATTATACAATGGAAAAAAGAAAGCATCTTCAACAAATGGTGCTGGCAGAACTGGATTCTGACATGTAAAAGACTGCAGACAGATCCATGTCTTTTGCCATGCACAAAACTTAAATCCAAATGGATCAAAGACCTCAACATAAATCCATCCACACTGAAACTCTTAGAAGAGAAAGTGGGAGGTATCCTTGAGTGAATTGGTACAGGAGACTGCTTGAACATAACACCAGTAGCACAGACACTGAGATAGACAATTAACAAATGGGACCTGCTGAAGCTGAGAAGCTTCTGTAAGGCAAAGGACACAGTCAACAAGACAAAAAGGCAGACCACAGAATGGGAAAAGATATTCACTAACACCACATCTGACAGAGGGCTGGTCTCCAAAATTTACAAAGAACTCAAGAAGCCAGTCTCCAGCACACAAAATAATCCAACTAAAAAGTGGGTCACTTGTGCTTTAAAGCCTATTCTTTTTCATAGCCTTTGGGCATCTTGGTTCTTAAGGTTCAAATGCTGTCCTCTCTATCCTTAACTACAAATATATTGAGTCCTACA